CAGCTAGCTTAACAAGCTGAAGATCCACTGGCTATTGTACCTAGCGCCATCTCGTAATAAAATCCTTGTCTAAAAAATTTCGATATGTAGCTATCAACCAGCTATAGATTTGTAAATATTTTGTAGCTAGCTATAAAGCTACGATATGTAGCTAGCGACACATTGCTACAAAATCGCAATGTTTAAAGTTCAATTATTTTCATAATTATAATAGACTCGACACTAAAAATTGAATTTTTAAAGATGTCATTTATTATCAGATTCTTATTACTTGAAATACACAAAATCAAAAAGCCATGTTATTTTAGTCAACTTAAATACGTTTTTTAAGTCATTCAACAGATGGGCAGGTAAAAAGGAAAACAAGCATGGAGCAATATTGGCAAGCTCTTTTCTGGATGTTGCTTGCTCTTGTATTATGCAACTCTATAGATTCATTTTGCATCTTTTTTTCTATATTTTGCTCTAAATTATCTAACACATGCAAATTAACAGCATTTTATATTATACCAGTTTATGTTTCTTGTAAAATAAATGTTGAACTAAAGAAGTAATGTGGTCAGTTTGTAAACATTCACTATTTGATTATTCAAGCCACAGGTAGTAGGCGTCAATTCATTATCAAAACAAACTAGAGTAAAGCAAATTCGATACTTTTCATTATTAAGTTAATTGCAACAGTTGTGTTATAGTATGCAAAAAACACATGCAAACTTATACTATAGTATGCAAAAACTTCACAGGTTTCTTTCAATTTGGCAGCTGGTTCAATATCTAACATGCAAAATCAGACAATATAAAAATAAAAGCCAACAAATATAAAAATATATATATATATAATTTATAGCCGTAAATTAACAATTAAACAATCTCATACATAAAACATATATCAAAATTACCTTTGTTATTTTCAGCAATATGGTTATAAAATACACAACCAGATTTGCATGAAGAAGAGTTCTAAAATACAATCAAACTATAGTATTATTATAAAAGACTTTTGTATATTAAAACAAAATACTTAGTTATTAAAATAATTAGATATACTAAACTTACATTGCAATTTGACTGACAATTTGTGTTGTTAAAAGGAAGTTTTATGTTGCACACTGCCATACACTTAAAACATGAATATTTTTACAAAAAAATTTAAAATATAAGTTTATTTAAAATATAATTTTATTTAAAATATAATTTATTTAAAATATAAAATAAAATATACAAATATATTATTTAAGTTATATATAAAATATTAAAACTAACCTAAAATATGTTTTTAAAAATAAAAGCAGTTTTAAATACAGACAGGCTCTTTTAGTCCTATTAAAATCAACTTACCTAGGAAGAAAATATATCCAAAACACACACGAGTGGACCCGTGAACATTAAATAGTTTTAATAAAATCCCTAATTCAATATTTTTGTTATGATATGCCATGTAGGTCATGCCTCTTGTTAACTTCCTTAACAGTCTTAATTTTTCCTACATGATTAAAACTAATTTGTTTCCCAGGATTTGATGCAGAGTTCTGTTGAATCTTTAAATGAATTTTGAGTAGTAAGCATGACTTATGATATGCTAAAGAGTACTCAACAAACTGTGAACTATGGTGAGTAAAAATTGTATGTAGATAACATTTTTTTATTCCAGTTTCATTTCAAGATCATTTTCTTTATACAACTTTTAATAAATAATAGATAAAACAGAAAATAACTGAGAATTTTTTTTTATATATAATAGATAAAACAAAAAAGAACTGAAAAAAACTGTTTTAAGAAAGTTATTTAAACAGAAAATTAACAAACAGATAAGTTATTTTGAGATACAAACACTTCTATATACATTTGTAAAAGGTATATTATACAAAACCGTTGTATTTTTAAATGAATAAAATTGAACAATAGATCTATACTTTAAATTGAAATATAATTACATTTTATAAAACAACAAACATTTATTTAAATAAAACATTAAATCAGCATTAAAATTATTTTAATAATATTCTGACACTTTAATTAATTTTTATTTAATTAATATCTCTCATTGCTATTTGTTTGTGAATCCAGTGTAATGTGTAAATCCACTGTTCTACTTATGTTTTAAATTACTAGCAGAAAATAAATTAAGTCTAAAAAATTAATGTTAAAGAAAACTTAAGATTAACTAAAATTATTACAGCCCATTTACTTGTCCTCATGTCTAGTATATAAAATAAGAAAGGGACAACAAATCATATCTTTGGTTTTTTATGAAATAACTTATAATTTCACAATAAACTACTGACCTTCACATAGGTCAGTAGTTTAGGTTGGAAAAAAAAAGTTTAATTAAAAAATATTTCCGTTTTTGTTTTGAAAGTTTCTTAATTCCTAATATCCTAATCACAGATCAATATTTTATAATTTTATTAATCTATGTTATTGACATAGATTAAAAGTAAAGAAAAAATTTATGATCATTTTATATCTCCAAATTATAGCCTTATAAACTAATTGAATATTAGTTTATAAGGCTATAATTTCTAAACTCTTGCACTTAGTCAAAATTGAAAATTCAATTTACTTGTATTATTTACTTGTAGATTTACATAAAAAAAGGTGAAAAACCAGATATGGTGCCTAATCTCTGGTTTTCACCTAAATAATAATAAATTTAGTGGTACTGACAAATCTGGTTTACTATTGTTTAACGATTATGAAAAGAATATTATTCAAATAATGTACTATTTTATGTCAGTATTAGTTAGACATACTACTTTAAAACAATCTTATAAAATTTCTTTATTAAAAAAAAAAATGAAAATAAATAAAAACTTATTGTTCCTTGTTTTTTTAAGTGTCAGGATTCAGAAGTTTACCAGAAACTAATAACATATTTTTAATGCAGACTTGAAAAACTTAAAATGAAAGCTTTAAGAGAAGAACGTGCTAAATTGAATGAAACTAATAAAGATTTACAATACTATTACGGAATTAGAAATGAAAGAGTTGTAAAACTCATAAAAAGATAGCAATTCATATCAAGTCAACAAGATCAGCTGCTATTTTCAAAAAATCTACTCTTTAAAAACTCAAACAGCTTTATTGTTCGAGTTTTTAAAGAGTAGATTTTTTGAAAATAGCAGCTGGCAACTAATAAATTTAAAAAACCAAGAGCTATTTAACCATCCAAAAAACAATTATTGTGGGAAATGGGCATTTACTAACATTTGCAGTCTAAGTAATAAAATTGTTGATTTCCAACACTTTGTCCATTTACATAGTCTTGATATTTGTTGTGTTATCGAAACTTGGTTAAATAAAAATCTATCTGACAGTCTATTAGTCCAAGGTTTTACACTGTTCTTCGCTGTGACAGATGTAGTAAAGGTGGTGGAATAGCAATATTTTTTCGCAGTTTTCTACAATTTACAAAAGTTAGTCAGTCGTTCAGAGTTATTATCGCAGTGGGGGTTTCCATAAAGAAGCTATTGACTATATGCAGAGTAGTGTAAAATGTTTTTCTATTTTGTGTTCGACCAATTGTTCAAAATGTGGTCTTACTAGGAGATTTTAACTTACCTGATATAGATTGGCACTACTATCATTGTCCAGATAGTGTTATACATAACTCTTTTTTACATTTTATAAACAGATATAGTCTCACTCAGCATGTTGATCAACCAACTCGAGAAAATAGCATCTTAGATCTTATTTTGAGTTCTTCCTCTTCATTTATCAGTAATCTCTGTATTGAACGACCTATTGGTACTACACAACATGTACCTAAAGTGCGGTACTACACAACATGTACCTAAAGTGCGGTACTACACAACATGTACCTAAATTATCACATAAAATACACTATCCTTATTATGTTAAAAGGTTGATAAACAACAAAGCAATAGCATGGAAAAGATAAAAAGTAACAGGTAAACCTTATGACAAAGCAGCTTATAAATCAGTTGCCGCACAATGTTCTAATTCCATTAGAAAGTATCATGCAACAAAAGAACTTGAGATGATACGCAAAAACAACCTTGGCAGTTTCTTTAATTTTGTCAATGGAAAACTCAAAACCTGTAGTAAACTTAATGACATTCGTCGATCCGATAATACCCTTTGTCATGATAAAGAAGAAATATCCTGTATTTTTAATAACTTTTTTGCAAGTGTTTTAACAGTTTATCACCAAAGTTTACGGATCGTGTTAACGTACATTCAACTTGTCTGTCATCTATTAACTTCTCTCCTTCTACAGTCGAAAAAGCACTTAGAGCACTTAAACCCACCACATCTACTGGTCTAGATGGCATTCCCAATGTTTTCCTAAAATATTGTGCCAGTAGTTTATCGATTTCCTTAAGCCATTTATTTGATACCGCTAGACTGGAAAGTAGCAAGCGTTATTCCAATTCACAAAAAAGGACCAACAGTTGACCCAGGTAATTATAGACCTATCTCCTTGACATCTACTTGTTGTTGTGTAATGAAAAGAATCATTAATAACAAACTGATTAATTATCTCTTACTCAATAACCTAATCACAAAAGAGCAGCATGGTTTTATTGGTAAACGTAGTACCTGTACTAATATTCTAGAAAGTCTTAATGACTGGACTTTAAATCTTCAGCGCCGTATTCCAACAGATATTATTTATTTTGATTTTAAGAAAGCTTTTGATTCAGTTTCACATCCTAAGTTACTAATGAAATTACCTGCTTACGGAATAGTTGGCAATCTTCTGAATTGGCTGACTAATTTTCTGCACATGAGATCACAGGTGGTAAACTTAAACAATTTTACTTCCCATGCTATATCTGTAACAAGTGGTGTTCCACAGGGAAGTGTTCTTGGACCTACTCTATTCTTATTGTTTATAAATGATGTGAGCCACATTAATAAACAGCTTGATGTCAAACTTAAACATTTTGCTGATGACATTAAATTATATTCAGTCTATGATGAACGTGGCCTTCAGTCAGACCTTAACACAGCTGTTAATCGTTTGTACGAATGGAGTTGTACTCGGCAACTCCAAATAGCAACTGAAAAATCCGTTGTCTGTACTATTGCTAACCAGAGTCAAAACATAGCCCAGCGTGTTTACACCATAAATAACCAAGAACTTGCCCATGTTAACTGTATAAGAGATCTTGGAGTTACCATTGATAGAAATCTCAAATTCAATCAACATATCAATCTTATCGTACATAAAGCTATGTCAAGATCTTTTCTTATTTTAAAATCTTTTTATTCACGCGATTGCTGATGGTTTAAGCCTACTGTACTTATGTACGACCTATGCTTGAATATTGCTCTTTAGTATGGTCACCTTACACTATATGTCTGATTAATAAAGTTGAGAAAGTGCAGCGTTTCTTGACTAAAAGAATTGCTGGTCTGTGGTCAGTTTCCTATGATAAGCGTCTAGCCATACTAAAGCTTAACACGTTAGAATATCGACGAGGTGTTTATAGATTTAGTTTTATGCTACAAAATTCTTAACGGTAAACTGGACACTGACCTATCAAACATTCTTATTCTCAATTCTTACTTGAATAATCGCGGTCATAACTGTACAAACACCATTCTAGTTTAAACAGCACAAAGTGTTTCTTATCAAATCGAATTGTTAATGTATTGAATAGTTTATCGGAGGATGTAGTGTCTGCATCGTCTGTCTCGATGTTTAAAAAACGTCTTGCTGTACTGCTTTGTTCAAGTTAATACAATTTTGTTGTAACTTGTCCAGCACTTGATACAATTTAACATTTCAGTGAAAAAAAAAAAAATTTTGTTAATGTATACTCAGTGTTAGTGGCCTTCGGGTCCTTCTGTAGTTTTCAAATAAAAAAATAAATAAATAGAAGAATAACTTAAATTTTTTAGATCCACCTAAGGTATTATGCTATTTGAAACAATAGTTTTTATAAATTGTTTTAGAATTTCTTTTTTTTTTTGTTTTTTAAAAATTTTTTTATAATGAGCGTGAGTCTTTTGCACTGACCGCTTAACGTATACAAATAATTTTGCTCTTTGTTAATTTTTTAAATAAATCGAAGCTCTAAAATGTTAAGTAAGATGAAACTTTTTCCGAGAATTTAGCGAAGATTTTTTAGACGGAATCCTGTCATGTT